ACTTCCCGACGTTGCTTGAAGCGCGTCCACCATAGACTTTGCATGTAAACCTGCTGCTCCTGACGCTGAAATCGCGTTCGGTGTGAACGCACCATTAGCTTCATGTGTTGTGACTGTTGTAAATACAGTGATCCCTCACTATGACGCAGTTCACCTTTCACGGTCTCGCTGCTTCACAGATTTTTTTGTGCACTTTATTTTTACAGTGCATTGTGCTCTTCGTCCTGATTGGCTAAACAGTCTCTGTGCTCAACAGGTTATCAACATGTCAGAGCCTGTAGGACGATTTAAAAAACAATAAATAACACCAAATAACCATCTTCCAAACTGTTCTGCCACTAGAAATAAGTTCTGGACTTTTTCCGCTCTCCTTTCCTCCTGCTTTGCAGCAGGCACTGCCAAAAACAAATAAAATAAAATAAATAAATAAATAAAAATAGTCCGTCAGCTCGCAGCTCCTGGAGCGGCGAAACTAAACGAACAATCCGCCTCTAAATTATCTGGTGAATTAATTATCTGCTGTGCACAACATTTGCTTGGTTTTTCGCCAATAAAGCAAAGCCATTTTCTTTATTTTATCTTTTTATTTTATCCATCGTTAAAGACAGGCCGGTGTTCCTCCCTCTTCAGATGCACGTTGATCCGCTGCTGCGTCCAACACCGAACGCGCTCCAGTGCATCCAAGGTGTTGGGCGCATTTTTGCTGCTCAAAACACGTTCGGTGGGAACCCGGTGTACCGGCCACTACTTCACAGATTTCGCCTATCATGGGTTGTTTTTGGAACTCAACCGCCGCGAAAAACAAGGGATCACTGTATTGTTGTAAATATTCATGTATGTGTAAATTTATTACCGTAACTGAAGGTGAGTCGTGTAAAGTTATGTTTTTATAACACAAGTAGCCCCCCAACACATATTTCTTTGGAGAAACACTGTCATTGCTTCATAAACCTCTGTGTGAGTGTGTGTTTTATTTATTTATTTTTAAAGTACCAATTTAAATACCATTTAGGAACCGGTACCATTTTGAAAGTATTGATTTAGCATCTGTATAGAATTAAACCCTTTCAACACCCAACTCTAAGATGAGACACAGGAAAAAAGTCATTATTTGCTTTCAGCGGTGGGCAATAATAAATGCTATACACATACCCTCCTTGACTTCATCCGCAGCAGGCTTGTCTTCTTTCCTTTGCTTTATGGCCTGTAGTTCCTTCTTCAACTGCCGAACTTCTTTCCTTAATTCATCACTGGAAGAATAGAAAATAAACTTTTAGGAACATTAACATTATGTATCTTTATGCAACTCCTATATTTGCGACAGACAGGATGAATGGCACAAGGGTTCAGAAGAAGAAAACAAATTTACAGTAATTGATCAATTCATTTTTTTGTCAACATTTAAATTTTTTTTTTAGTTTCACTGTTTTGTGTAACAAAATTAACGGTATCAAAATAAATGATCTTATAAAACATTCATAAAACATGCTATGCAATAACTGGAAAGAAGATTGAGTTGCTCAAATAAATTTAACATTCAAGTTAATCAAGTGTTTTACCCTCCAGGCATTTATAAAAATTTACAATGGCTGTTCAGATTAACTTGTGAAAATAAAACAACAACAACAACAACAACAACAACAACAACAACAACAACAACAACAACAACAATAATAATAGGGTCACAGGGTTCACTGGTGTCCATATCCAGCAGTCACAGTGCGAAGGGCGGGGTACACCCTCCTGGACAAGTCACAAGTCCAGCACAATCACAGTTGCCAACTTAGCGACTTCGTCACTAGATCTAGCGACTTTTTACACCCCTCTAGTGACTTTTTTTCCCAAAAAGCGACTAGCGACAAATCTAGTGACATTTCCCGGTGTTTTTAGAGACTTTTAGGAGCTTCGGCGACAGCATTTTCCAAGCACTTTTTTTCCATTTCTCCTCCTTTCCTCCACAAGCAGCGAACGCGGAGGTGAGCCCCTCCCCCTTCCTAAAGCCGTCCGAGTTGCTGAAGCCTCGTGCAGCACCCCCAACCCTACCCCCACCCCCGGCTGAAGTCAGCTGAGAGGAGACCGCAGCAAATGAATCACGCATGCGCAAAGCTGCCACTGCTTCTGTCATGTTTACTGTAATGTTGTTTCATTGGTACTGTCTCTGTAAACTAAATCTCTGGACCCAGCTGTGTTTGACTCACAGATCAGTCACTGCTTCACCTCTTCCTCCCTGTGTCTCCTGACATCGAACTCTCCGCAGATTAAATTTAAGATTCCCACAAATTTAATTTATGTAGATCTAATCATTGAAGTCATAAAAATGATTTTTATTTAATTAAGTTTAATTGCAGTTCTAAACGTATTTAGCAGGGGTAGACATAAGGATTTTTTTCAGGTTGTCCAGCGGACAACCTGTTGACAAAATCTGGTTGTCCGCAAAACATTTTGGTTGTCCAAAAAAAAAATCTCGATTAAAATGTAATTTTATAGGTAGCCTATATTGTTCTGTATACGAAGTTTACTGTATACAAATGTTTTCAGTCAGCATTTCAACAGTTTCAGGAGCTGCTTGAGTAAAACTCCTCCTCATCCTCTTCTTTGAAATAGAGAGCAAAAATCAACATCCAACAACCATAAGCTTCCTGCTTACAGGACCAACATTTTAATTTAAATAGTAGTATAACCTACTGTCTACATGACCTTATTAAAGCTACAGATTAGTGTTCTTAGGACTGAAGACTTTCTGGATAAAGGGGATTTAAACAGCTCTTCTGTCATTTTAGTGTTTTCAACTGAGGAGCTTTGATGTATTTATTTAAAAAGAATTATAGCACAAGAAGTTCTCTGCATAGAAAAACCTATTTATTTTTTACTGATTTTTTAACCAAACTGACAAGTTTCTCCACTATAATTGTTGTGTAATGTAAATGCATTGAAACACCTGGATAAATTTAGAAGATACTGTATTATGATTAACTACAAGCACCTGAAGCTGACTCAGAGAACTCTGTGATTTTAGAGGAAAATCAAAGTCAAACGTAGACACGGACCCCCCCCACCCCCGGCGGCTGTGGTCCGCTTGCACACCCGACTCGCGTATGATTAATACAGATTTTTTTGCGAAAATTACTGATTTGTGATGCTCATTATATACGTAAATTTGTGAAGGGGTTGACTTGTGGACTCTGAAGTCCCGGGCCGGTCGGGGCCGCGGTGCGCGTGAAGAGGTGCTGCGGCTGTGGTCAAACTGCCTCTCAGCCCTCGTTTTAAAAACAGTCAGATCTGTCGCGGTTTTGTTGTGCTCGTAAACACACGGTGTTACAGGAGAAATGCTGTGAGGTGCTTTTAGAAATATAATATATGTAAAATACGACGTAATCCTCGGTGGAAAATAGCTCAGGTCAACACCTCCCGGGAAAACGCTCAGCGTTTCCTGGACTGAGTGAAGCTGACCCCTCCCCCACAGAGAAAGAAAAAAGGCAGTGGTGTCAGTCAGACAGCATGACCCGCCCTGCTCTGTTCTGATTGGGTAAAACTTTGAATGTGGTTCTCTTTATTGGGTGAAAGAACCGTCAGTTTAAACCCTAGATGGCTTTAACAAGTTTTTTTTTTCTCCTGTTCATTTTTACAATGACGAACACCCGCTGATTTTTTCTTGGTTGTTCACCGGACAACTTGGAGGCGGGATCTGGTTGTCCGAAATGAAAATAGGTTGTCTCAGACAACCTAAACAACGGTTACGTCAACCCCTGTTTAGTGTTTTTATTCACTTTTTTCTCTTTATCATCTCTCCTATAGCTCAGATCACAATTATTGGCAAACATCCAACTATGCAAAGTAAGTGATGACGTCTTCTAGCAACTTCTAGCAACTTTTAGGACAGCCAATAGGGTCTTTTCTTGCTCAGGAGTTGGCTACACTGAGCACAAGACCCCCGTGACCACAGAAAAGGAATAAACGGTTATAGATAATGGATGGACAGATAATAATAATAATAATAATAATAATAATAATAATAATAATAATAATAAAACAAATTGACATTACAAAACTGTGCACTGATAAAGCAACTAAAAAACACGTCTCAAATCGAAACTAAAAGTTTCTAAAAAAAATCATTCAGTGGTTCATGTGATATTTTGTAAAGACACCAGGGTTGATACCAACAATTAATGCTACATTTTTAAGCAAAGATTTTGCACTATAAATGTACTTGGAGTGGCTTGCAGCTGTAGACACACCAAATTTTATCTAAATATCTGTAAAAAAGGCAAATTTTGTGTTTTCTAAGGTGAAGTGGCTGCGGTGTAAGTACCAATCCTGCCGTAATTGGAACTAAATGTAGAAATACATAAATGAATGGTTTGATAAAATAATGTGACAAATACCACTAAAAAAATTTAAAAACCAAAAACTTTACTAACTTATTTAATTATAACTCCTACATTATGTAAAAGTTTTACCTGAGCTTTACAAATCATTGCATTCTGTTTTGATTTACTTTTTTATTACATCTGTATTTAGAGTGGACCTATTATGCAAAATTCACTTTTTAAAGTTTTTTTTACTCAACTTTGGGTATGTACTTCTTAAAAAACAGTCCTAGAACAAAAAAATGCACCCAGGGGCATATTTACTGTAAGTAAATGTATTTTTTATGTATATTAACGACAAGTTTTATACTTCCGTTATTTTGTGATGTCACAAGCCGTACGACAACCCACCAGAACCTGCGTTCAGCCCCTTACCTAGCAACCCCTGGGTGAGGCTCCACCTCCTCAGTATAAAAAGCCGTCACGGTTGTTGTGCAATGCGCAGCTCATTTCACAACAAGCCTCCAATAGGGCAATGGGTAGAGTGTTGGACCAGAGAGTGGTACAGACACTATTTAATTTTTTTTCATTCGTTATGAACACATTTTCTCATGTACCTCTGTTGTTTAGCTTATTAAAGCCTTGTTAAAGCCTATTTGTTCGAGTTTCTGAGGTATTTTCGCTGCTGCTGCTCCCTGCTCTGGTAACAGCATGCAGAGTGAGCACAGAGCAGAGGAGGGGGAGAAAAAAGAAGAAGAAGCTGGGACCGACTCTACCTCTGGGTCTCATATGGTTGTACAACGGAGCTTCTGCTATTTTTAGCCATGCTAACGTAAATGCTGGCTTTGGAGGGCGGAGTTAATGTCAACAGATTTTTGGAGGGCGTTACCAACAGAGCTCATTAACATAAACAGCTCTTCTGAACGGAAGTCAGAGCAGGCAGAACTAGAAAATGGGAAGTTTTATTATCTGAGAATTATTTTGTGCATTAAATTGAAGGAACATGGTCTGGATAGCCCACAGACATACCATAAACATTTCTAGGACCCATAATTGGTCTCCATTAACCAGGCAAATCCCATTGAGATCACAGATCTCTTTCTCAAGGGAGGTCTGGCCAAATTTTACACAACATCTAAACCTTTTTCCAAATTGGGGTTGTGTAACCTTCACATCAGTGTTGTGAACTACAATCTAAAAAAGGTTTCCAGCGAGCAAGAGCCGCATTTGAAGTAGTCATGCAAAAGCCGGAAGATGTGTAAACCTGGCAGTTCCAAAACATACACAATCCTGCTGCCAAGAACTGGATTGTCTCAACCAGTTTTCTACACAAATGCAGTGCAGAATGCCTTCCTGATCTCTGTGACCTTTCCCTGAGAACGCCCCGGGCTATGACCGATGGCAGGGGACAAGTGCAGCCAATTAATACACAGTGACACAACGACTGGAGTATGGCCCCTTTGTTGGGATAATTAGTGCCTGATGTTGCATTTAAATGACCCTATTCACAAGCTTTAAGTAGGCTTTCTAAAAGCTGTGTAATTTTTAAAAGATTTTTTGACAAATTAAAACTAAAATAATCCTATATAGTAGAGTGAGAGTAGTACAAGAAAATCCTTTTTTTTATTTCTAATTAGTCAAAATAGGTTAAACACTAAAATACACAAACCTAAACTACAATCTTAGGGAAATAAAAGCTGTAGTAGTCTCTTTTATTATCTAAATGAAAATTACACATTTCAGGGATTTTTTTATTTCCACTATTGCCAATGTGATGCTCAGAATGGGATTAAGATTAAGTGAAAATTTAATTCAATCTGTTGGCTTACTAAAGATGCTGTCACACGGTGATAGCATCAGCGTATAATAACATACAAAGGAAAAAAAACTGCAAAAACACTGGTGTAAGTTGCAATAGTTGGGTGCAAATTTTAATTAAG